ATAGTGAATAAGTACAAGTTGTATTATTTTAACCTTGCACTGATTCAGCAATAAACTTAGGAGCGTGAAATATTTCTGTGTTATAATTCACGGATTTGGTATGATATTGCCGCTTGGATGTTTAATGATTTGAGTACTGCGTGGTTTTGAGTTAGTTCGATTGGATTTTGTCATTCAATTTGATAACCACGCTATGTAGTAAACCCCCGTCTATGAACACCTTTTCGAACAGCTAATCATAGAGTTGAAATCATATTTCAGTTGTTAATTCTCTTTTCTTATTTGTCTCTTTTCTTCTCAAAATTGTTAGTGTCTATAAAAACAGCGATTACTATAGACAGACTGTCTTCCAATGTATTAGCTGAGTGCGTAAATGTGTCATAATAAGGTTGGACACACGCAATAGTAAATGGTAACATTTAAATATTCGATAATCCTTCTTCGTCTGCATTTTGCCATGAACAATAAGCTGCTGTACAGTATTAATGAGCGTGCGAATATGGCGGTTTAGAGTAAGATTAATTTATGCGCCGTATGAAGACATTATTCGATTCGAACGTAAAGGCGAACTTGACCCAAATCGCCAATTCGAAATAGGTCACATTGTCTAACCATACCATTAAGCAACATGTAATCAACATTGTTTACGTGATGTTATCGAAGAAAAGGTGCGATTTGAGTCAGAACATTGATATACGTACGCTCAAAAAGGCACTAAAATCAATTAAACAGATCGTGTTAGAATCGTTATTTTTATTTTACGAGATGTAGATCAGTTGCATTGTCGTCACATGTTCACTTCCCATATCAAAAAATATATCTGTGGCTGATTTGTGGCGTCACATCAATTGAAGCAATGTTTCGTTCTCAATGGCCTTTGATTGCTATTTCGATCTTGTTCTTGCTTACTGTCATTCACAGCACGAGAGGGGCGAACATTACCTCTTTCTGCAAGTGTTCTTGCATTGGTAAACCGCCACAAATAATACCTTTAAGTCAGACGAACGCAAAGAGTGAATGTGCAAATTGCACAAGAGCGTTCTGTGAAGAACAATTAGGAAAAGATTTCTGTGGACTGAAGACCATAGAAGGCAATCCTATCGATGATAACACTTGCGGAACAGAGTTTACTGCAATATGCTTTGGTAAGTCGTTCTGTCCTGTAGTCCATTGAGGTGTGAGCCGAATATGATATATTTTCTAATACTATCATTCCTCGATTTGATGATATAGAACGTGATTCCTTCAAAGATGAAGCTATCGTTTATATGTATATTATCATTACGACTGGCTTGCTATTTGCCGCCATAGCTAAGCCATTTCTCTCCCATTGGCGAAAGGTGTGTTATTTTATCGGCATTGTTTCGATTGAAGAATTGTCTTAACAATTTATCCAAAAAATGTAGGGTCCGAATGCCGCACATATTTATACGTCTATACCGAATAGCTGAGTTATTCTTTGTACAGTACTGGCAAGCATAATTACAATGAAATAATATGACTTTAAAGCCTTTCAACTTCCAAAAAATTATAAACTGACCAAGCTACCGGTCAGATTTAAAGGCTATTTGCATTATCGTATTGAAAAGTGTATGCAACATTATCAAGATTTTGTACAAAGCTTATGAAAGCATTGTATATGTGTTTGCTGTAATTGATGTATTAACAAAGGATTTCTGTAAACAACCCAAAACCATACGCTTTGTTACCGCTCTTACATGCAGTCTACATCATACTGTTCGTGAGGTTTACATCATACTGTTCGTGAGGTTTACGCCATACACCGTTTTCATGCGAAAGAAAGCGGAATTCATCACTCCAAGTAACGTTATTTCATCTTTATTCCACCGTCTTCGTTCGACATCACTTTAGCGCTTTTTCCTATTCTTTTCTGAAATCAGAGATTTTTCGTCTACCAATACGACTGGTCTTCATGAAGACGATTGAATTTTTCTGTCATTTCCTCTGATTGGTGAGATGGTCTGCCAGAATGAGGACAATTAGTTACAGTCCGATCTCGTTTATTTTTATTATAAGCACCTCTTATAGTCACAACCCCCATACAGTCACATTTTCGTTGGAACCCAACCGATTTATAATAACATTACTGCACATTTTGACTATAACAGTATCTTCCTTTTTAGTCACATCACGTGAACAAGTATTTAATATCATAAGAACGTCTATCAGCAACTCACTTAAAAAAGATATTTCTATCTTCCATGTGATAATAATAAGACTTTTAACAAACGAAATTGCAACTTACGTTAAATATAGTCTTAACAATGACGACTATCAGTAAATAATAAATAAAAAGATAAGTAGCTTTATTATTTCATCCAGTGTATGGGATCTTCTCTGTGTGATGACAGGGGTTTTGGTAGGCTGTTTAACAATCTTTTCGCAATGATATTAATATGTAGTCTCTAGTATAGGGAGAATGTGTCTAAACAGTCTATTATCGAGCGGTTCTTTCACCAGTGATTTTGTCAGTTAGGAAATAAACTTATTACAGAAATAAACCTTTGATACGGTTTTTACTTAATTTACTATTTTTAACTCACAATTGAAATTTCGTATAATAAATTATTATAATGCGACTTGGCAAAATTTTATTCGAACATCGTTGTGTTGTCAATACTTTTGGCCGGTCAGCCGACTTATCAAGCTGCATGCGTACCAGTTGTTGTCTAAAACGTGTTAACAATCACGAGATAGAGATTAACTGTTGACTTGTAGCGGAGTGTAGTCTCTACTTTTAATTGTGAACCGCATTTACCCGTTACTTTCTATGCGTAGAATTATGTTGATCGTACTAACCCAATTAGGGTTAAGTGTGAATGTATTATCCTACATTTCTTTAATATTAATGATACTCTATTGGATTTAGGTCAAGACTAATAGAAGGCCATATTATCCCAAAGAAAGTTTTTTTGTGAGGCGGCTAGCATGTTTGGGTATTGTCTTGTTGAAATTCCTAACAAGTCTTTAGTGCTCCGGAGTATAATAATAAGTTTTTGCATCCGTTATTTTAGGAAATAGTACGTAATTGTCTTACTCCTTCTTTTTCTTTTTGAGAGGGTAATTTATTATTATACTACCACAAGACTGGCCAGTCGCGATATAGTAAAGATTTATGCCACGTACTGTATATATAAACTTTACTAAAACGAGAATATTCGATATAGTAAAGATTCGATATAGTGAAGAAAAACCTCCGTCCCATTGACTTTACTATATCGAGTCCTGACTGTAATAACAACGTGGGATGGCTTAAAGTTCTGATTATGATCGTGGATTTATATCTTGACAAGTGCCGGTCTTACCTAAAATTAAAGACAAGGGGTCAGAAGCTTGAGGTTCTGAGAACAAATGAAAAGAAAATTGACATACTAATATTACTTATTTGAGTGGCGTTCATTTTCCTAGCACGGTAAAAAATCGATTTAAACATAAATTTTCAAAATCCATTCTCCAGTCTTCTATGCGATTTTTGCCAAAGATTTACAGTGTGATTCAGAATTACAATGTAAATCATGTGTGACGGGGGTTATATATAAAAGTTCCTCGCGATAGGTAACGGGTTATATTTCTGCATGTATTGTAGATAGATAAAAACAGCCTAAACTAGCGCACCTTGTGAATAAAAGTTCCTCGCGATAGGTAATGGTTATACCGCGATCCGTGCAAGCTTTATGCAGTTCCTAAAGAATGATTGAACAAACAGAAGAAAGAAAAGATTACGTAAATTGCTTAACAAGGTATAGAGATAGGAATTTATATTATAAGCTTACAATGTATATGGAGTAATTTAAAATCAAATGCTGAGCGTTTGGAACATTTGCTGCAGACATCAGATTATTCTGCCCATACGTACTTGGTCCCCTCATTCTGACCACTTCTTTACTACATGTTAAAGATAGCTTTAATATTAACGGGTATAGCTTGGTAATAAAGTCGGGAACCCCAACTCAGAGCAACGTAGACAAGATGGTAAAGTAAAGAAGATTGGTTTGGTGAAAAAGGTAGAATTAATCTACGGATGTGTGAAAGAATGTCTGAGTCGCAGTAGTTGAGCAAGAGTGAGAGAATAAGAGTGTAACGTGATAACAACGTGTTAATCTGTTGCAGCAACTCAAGTTACTTCAATTACGCATATTGCAATTTGGCCAGAAATGAGCCATATCAAAACGGATAGAATGGGCATTGCGTGATAGATGAGACCTTCTCCGAACCGATGACGCAAAAGCGCCGGTCAACCAAAGATCACGCCAAGGTTATGGCGTGGGTCGGTACCTCAACGTATGGTGGGATTTAGCGCCTGCAACAGGGTAATAATCCTGTCCAAAATAGAATCAAGCAATGGATTAGTCTAAAGAAGTGAACTTGTTTTGGAGAACAAATTCCTATTGAAAATTTTATTTAATAAAAAAGTGTGCAGTTTTGTATATGGATATTGTGTCGCTCCTTTGCAAGGACGCCTTGTTAAGGATGCTCTCTCCATTCCTTGAATGCACGAATCTAGCTCAAGGGACAGCACTTGCTCACCTACTGCTTGAACAACTCGTTGCAAGCCTGAGTTGGCACCCGACTAATTTCTACATGTATTAGTACGAATCGTTATGCCTATTTCATTTTGTCTAACCTGGCTCATGTAACATGGAAGGTGTAATAAAGAATCTAATGAAACTTACCCTAATAATACAATATCAACTGTTTTACTTACAATTTGTTTTTGTCTAAGCACAAACATTCAAATTTAGAAAGAAAGAAAGAAAGAAAAAGAATAAAAAAAAAACGTAATGCAGAGAAAGAGGAATGACCATAGCATAGTCGTGCACATGAACACCATATTCCGGCTCACATTTTACCATTCGCAGGTAAAAAATAGCTCTTTACTAAAGATAACAGCTGTATAATCTAAAGCGAAATAGCAGTCAAATACTTTTATATTACGAAACTATTCGACTTTTGAGGATAGCATTCATTATCATCCATGACTAGTCATCATCCTTGTATGCTACTGGCTGAATATTTTCATATTCCCTCTGCAGTGCAATCTGTTGCTCTAATTCTTCCCTGTTCTTTTCCCATCGTAATCTTTGCTGTTCATCTATTTCTCGACCTTGCTGTTCCTCGCGCTCTATGTTGATATGCATGATCTATTACGTACCATTAGGATGGAAATAAGATGTGTTGTCAAACAAGATCGGATCCAACTTGATAACCCTTACCATCCTCTCTTTTTGTTGCAAATAGTGGACTCCCCAAATGGTAAATGATGTCACTATGATGGCAGAGCCTAATGTTAGCTTTGCTGCACGAGACATCTGTAGCAACTTATTATGATAGCAAAGTGAACCACCAAAATATTTCAGGGGTTCAAAGATAATAAACACAACCCGAAGGCACGTGCGAATTTTCGATATTTTTGTAATTCGATATCACTTGATTTAACTGCAATGATACCGGAAGACGATACAATAAAAGTGTAGCAGCAAGGCAGCTACGGAAGCTGTAGAAGCAGTAGAAGCAAACGACAGCAATGGAAGCAATAGAAATGGACGATGCTAAAACAGATTATAATTCTTTTCTTTAAAGCAATAATCTGTATAACGGATAAGGTTGATGGTAATAATTCCTTTCCCCACTTCTTGTTAAGAGCTTAACGACAGACTACCAATGTACAGAATCGTAATTAATCTCGAGAATAATTAGTAATATAGGATCAATCAGAGTTAGACTCGTCAGGTGCGATAATAATAAAGCCTATCTATTTACAGGTCACTAATGTTTAGCTATCGGGCTGATAAGATCGCTCCTTGGGGTTTGCTTAGGATGGGGTGTGTACTTCTTGGTACTAAGTGAGCAAACAAATGTTATCGCAATTTTCAAAATTATAGAAACCCTGAAATTTTATACACGCGAAGTCTCTTGACTGTGCGAAAAATTACAAACACCAACTAAGTCTCTACAAAACTACGCGATTATTCACCTGCACTCGACTTCTTACCCTTTCCGTGGCACTTTTGCTTACTGCCTTGGTAAGTCCTCGCGGCTCCATATCTAGTGCCAGTATTTACAGAAAAGGTTGCACGATTACTGCGCGATTACTAACGATTACTGCGCGATTACTAACGATTACTGCGCGATTACTAACGATTACTGCGCGATTACTAACGATTACTGTACGATTACTGTACGATTACTGGCGATTACTGTACGATTACTGGCGATTACCGGCGATTACTGTACGATTACTGGCGATTACCGGCGATTACTGCCCGTTACATATTGAATTCAGAGAACCTAACATGGTCAGGAACGTCAGCGAAGACTTACGCTGGAGAATAGTCTATCTCCATTGCGACGGTTTGTCTCATAGACGGATTTGCCGTTATTTATACGCCAGCAAAGCCAACTGTATCCAGAGTTCTGAGACTATTCAAACGTTGGGGAAGTGACGAAAATCCCTTTGAAGGAACGCGTGGACGTAAAAGAATTTTCGATAATAATGACATGGGGGTAAGTCAAGAAGTCATCTGTGTTTGTACTGTCTTAAAGTTAACGGGGTTTTCTAGATTTTATCGTCGTTGGTTGTTGAGAAAGTTGATTGGTATCTTGATGAATTTATTATCTGAGATGGAAGTAAGAACCGGGAAGAGAGTCTCTATACCGACTTTGTGGCGATCTTTAAAGTTTTGTGGCATTACTCGAAAAAAGGTGACATATGATAACAGGCAAACAAATGAAAATTCTCACTAAAAAGATTTCTTTCTAGTTACATAAGGCGGCAGCGGAAGGAATGAGTTACTTCGCAGTTCTTTCATCAGTAAAATTGGAGAGTTATACTCACCTGAACAATTGATATTTCTTGATGAGAGTGCGAAAGATGAACGGTCATTATCACGAGGTTATGGTTATGCATTCGCAAATGCATGTGCTCAAAAAAAGGTAGTATTCGTTCGTGGAAAGCGATATACAATATTACCAGCACTAACAGTGGAAGGGATTGTTGCTGTTGAGATTATGGAAGGCAGCTGTGATAAAGAAAAGTTCAGCGAGTTCATCCTGTCACGGGTGGTAGGTTCATTATGTATTCGCAACATGAACGCTCCTTAGTATTAACTCTCTTTCGCATAGATTCCATGCATGAATCAATATCCTGGCTCAAATAGTGTGATTGTTCTGGATAATGCGGCAATTCATCATGGAGGAGAGTGTGGGTCTCTATTGTTGAAGGACTAGGTGGACGGGTGCTCTATCTTCCTCATCAAGAGCTGGCTTAAGAGGCATCATGGTTTTGTCACGTCATGCAATGACCCTACTTATCCTATTCTGATCGCATGCGGTCAGATTACACCTGACAAGGCCAAATCCTTTTTCAAAGCATCCATATAATTTTGATATTTATTTTACTATAAAGAGATGCTTTTCCAAACAAAACTTGGCAGAGGCTGATTGAACTGACTGTATTTTTATCATAAATCAACGTCTTTACTAATTGAATAAAATGAATATAATTAGCAACACTTTCAACTTACTGATAAAATTTCTAATCTAACTATATTGCGCTGAAGCCTGTTTGAGCGTAATCTTCCACCCGATTTTGTTCACACCTAACTCTTGAAAGTTTCTATCACTCAGATCCTTCTCTTCTGCAAATGCTTTCTCAAATTGTGAATAAGTTCCTTCTCCGTGTACATTATCCGAGTCGTGTAAGAATTGAGTAAGAGTTGGAATGCGGATTTTCGGAGAATTTGAGCCTGGTATTGATTGTGAAGAGAAATGTCCTGGGAAGGAAGTCGTACATGCGGGATAGGGCGGAAAAGGATATAGACATGTATTCGATAGTGTGTTCAGAGTTGACGAATTATTCTTAACATGAGTTGCACCAAAGATTGGATAAGAGGGGGACAGTCGAGGTCAGTAGAGCCACGTTTCTATAAACATGATTTACGTTAGCATATACGAGCCCACAGAGACAAATGGTGTGGCGATAAGCGGAGATGAGAGCGAGTATTTATATTGATATAACATGCCATGCTTGATTGTGTTCAATGCAGTGATACTTTTCCCGCAGTGTTGTTTGATGATCTTAGCCTTTTCAATTTCCAGGCTATCAAGAGCGTAGCGTTTGGGAATTGTTTTTTTCTTGCGTTTTCTGGTAATATTGTCTTCAATTTCTGAAGTACTGAGATTTTCAGAGTCGGAGTCCAAGGTTACATTTTTTATATTTGTCTGCGATTTGTGTCGCTTCTTTTTATTCTTAATATGAATGATATCATTACCGTATCCTTTTTTAATGACAGTGCGACCTTGTTTTTATAATCTTCAACAAACTTCTGGAAATCGTCTTCATCTGAAATCTGCATTTGTATGACATCGTATAATCACGTCTCTGAATTGTGTCATCGTCCAACAAAATACGCACTTGATGAGTGATCTTTGACATGAAATCATCAAACTCGGCCACTGAAAATGTCACCCATTTTCAACAATTTTGGTTTCTGCCATAGTAAAGACATGAAGTGTGTGAGTGCACAGTGGCTCTCTTTATAGTGGACCTCCGTTACAAACTAGCTCTATATAGTGTATTTATATAGAAACTATGCAGATTTCGGTTAGTGGAGGAAATATGCTTGATTAATTATAGTCCAGAGCGTCTCTATATAGTGTATGTAGTACGAAATCGCTATATTGTGGATTTTCGTTCGATATAGTGGAGGGGTAATGATTAGACGAAGAAAATTTTTTCTTCTTTGTTATGGATGAACAGACAGTTGATATGCTCTCACAAAGTATGTAATTGATAAAAAAAATAAAGCAAGGCCTATTACTTTTGACAATGTGTGAGATTGTTTGTTAATAAAAGATAATAATGCGAAGTTATTTTTCAGAAAAAGTGACTATGAAAACGTTAAATAGTTTAAGCATCAAATTTTCAAAAACAAGCACCAGTCTAGCATTATTTTAGCTTAAAAACTTTTACTGCTTTTCCTTGCGTGTTAATACGAAATAAACCTCAAATTTGCTATAGTGTATGTCACATGATATATTATTAAATACACTATATGGTGAGATTTCTTTTTTGTGTGTCGAGTAGTTTAAAAGTGCTTGACGATTCGCGCAACAGCCTTGCTGGTTCTTTAGAGAAGTAAACATCTGAGGCAGCAATGATAGAAACCTTTGTCATTGTCATTCATGACATAAAACAATGCTGCAGCCTTTACCGTTCTGAAAAAATTTTATAGACCGCCGACTAAAGTACACTTTTCAAAGGGTAATAAAAATCGTAACAAATGTCACGTTTTTTCCTCGCTAAATATTGCCAATCCTAATAAGTCCGACAAAATATTGGTGAGCGAAAACAGGTTATGCAATGTCTCTACATTCGTCGCTATAAAGCAATCATAATGTGTAACATGCACGCTGATACTTCATCGAACAACTGCTTTAAGACGATAAAATCACTTGTTTTACTAAATTTCGACGAGTGATCCGTTCTGGGATTTGACCCATTCTGAGAACGAGTCAGCTATCACATAAATTGTGGTGCAAGAGATTATTCTAATGTGACGATCCCGAAACGGGTCAAATCTTAGAATGGGTTATTAAAATAATACATACAGTCGCACTTGTCTATTTGCATAACGTATACCCCAGTCGTGAACGTGCATATGCATCCAAAGGTGGACCCTTGCTCTAGTAGATCCGACCAACGTATATTTGCATATGCATACTACAAAAGGAGAGATCAACCAGATTAATCTAAATTATATTATTATCTGGCGTAAAAAATTACCAAATACACCACTTTATTAATTGCTGATTGCTTGATGTAGTGTAGTGTTCTTCATCATAAAATGATTGCGATAACTTATTGTATGAGAGGACGTCAAATCATATGATAACGTATATTTGCATATTCTACCGGTCCCGACAGTATGCAAATAGACAGGTGCGACTGTACCTTAGGGCCGAAAAAGTTACATCATTCTGAAGCTAGTTGACTGTACTTTACAGCGTAGTGATATGTAAGTTACGCATATAATCGTAAGTGTAACCTATTACGGTCACTTAAAATGGTTTATTATTTTTTCGAATATTATAATTGTTTAGCTTAAAATTTCTTGTTACTTAGTGAATACGAGCAATACAGATTTTCGAAAAATATAAATTTCATACTTTTTTGACCAGTGAGGTCTTAGTAACAAAAAGACACCGCTTTAGATATTATTTATGAGATCGATGATTTTTTAATTATAGTAAACAAAAAATTTCGCCCAAGTGGATTATTATACTGAATTTATATATATGAATCTTCCTTCGTTATAAGCTATCTTGCAGGATAAACTGTTACAGGTGATTTTTGCCGGTTTAACCCGAGGCCGGTTTATTAACGGTTATCTAAACGGTATGACGTACATGCCCAACTAAACGAAGACCTTACGCGAGTGTCCCATCTTGGACAACTATATCAGTTTATTATGAACTATCATTAACACTATTCCAATTTTATAGACATTCACGACCGGAATAGTTTTCCGCGCTCGTAATATAATTACGTGCAATTGCGCATTACATAAAAACCAAAATTACCTTAAGGAAAACAATAAGCGGTGTCAGCGTTCAAAATTATTTAGAAAAGCTAGAAAAGTTTTGAGAAGTAGACACTGGTTTAAATAATTTTACTGATACATGCACATACAGTACCCTGCCATAAATGAGTGATCACCATGAAATTTAGTTGATCAAGCGTTAGAAGTTGTTCATATAAAAAGTAAATCATTTACTAAGACAGTCGGCCATCATGTACTAAGTAAACTTGTTTGCAATATTAACCTTCATAAGTCTTGCAACTTTTATAAGCGTTGCATAAATTCTGAGTGAGATATTCTTGCTTACGTTGAGGACGAAAATTTTAAAAAAATTATCGTAAGTTTGTTATAACGCGACTTAGAAAAGTTTGTTACTAACTATTTTTTTATATCCTTAAGTATACAAAATTTCCTTATGGTGATCACTCATTTATGGCAGGGTACTGTACATTTTAGACTACGAATCATTTTTTCAAGGGCTAATTTGAAGCCTATTTAGGAAAGTTGATGAGTTTTTTTGTTTATGCCTGAAGAGAATATCATGTATGACAGCACTGAGATTTGTTGGTTGCCATTAGTGCTTTGAGATGTGTTAATAAAAAATTATGTTGTAAATCTAGAAGTGATTTGCGCCAACGTCCCCAAACTGCAATTACATGTGTAATTCTATATTCAACATTTATTGGTTTTCTAGGAAGAAATCTAATAAACCGGTTTTTCGTTAGCAAACAGTTTTGCATTATTTAATAGCGTGCGAAAAAAAAGGTGCAGAACAAATTAGCGAGTATTATAATGCATTATTTGCTAATACATTAATATTGGTACGATTTGGGCAAAACAACAAATATGAGGTAGAGCTGCCATATGGAATCGCGAGAGCCGTTTTACCAGCATTATTTCATTTTGGGGGGTAGCTGTGTCCCGTTATAGTGTAAAAAAGTCAAACACTGCCAAGAAGGGTTTATATCATTGCACTTTTATAACGAGTGTAAAATTTCTACCGTTTTCGGTAAGATTAAAAGTCGACTCTGCGGCCGGTGACTTTGATATTAACGCCGTAAACTTCCATTATGATTTGAATATTATATATCGTATTAGAGGCTAAAGTGAATTATTATAAAATTCTTATTGTATCTTACATAATAAATTATAGGATAATTTTACTACTGCCTTACCGTATAATATCAACTCCTTATTTCACCGGTTGTCGTTCAAATATTTCAGAACACTAAACAAAAAAAGCGGCCTTCCAATTACTCTTCACGTTCATGTTTCCAACCTCTCCTCACACATTAGAAGCATTTGTATACCTTGGAATAACCGCACGCGATTTAACAAGCACCTCATCCCATTCTTCCTTTGCATCTGATAAATGCAAAATTGCTCCTCCGGCACCGACAGAGACTTCTGTTCCGGAGTTGATTACGGCAGTCCGGATAATAACAGAAAACTTAGCCGTTCCTCGGGTAAAATGCTTATGCTGGTTAGACTGCGCAATATAGGGAAGAGATATATAGCCGAGACAGCCAGAGTATACGCCACGAGGAGTGTAAAATTCTAATTTATCCAAAAGTTGAACGCTGCGGAGCTTGGGGGCACCGGTCATTGAGCCTAATAGTAAACAAGGAAATAAAGAGAATGTTTGAAATAAAACGTACCAGAAGATAGCAAGTACAAAAAAATATTCATCTTCTACAATTGCTTTTACCGGGTGGGAAGCAGCATTTTACAGCAGTAACACAGTCAATTTCATCTCTCAGCTGTCCACACACTGTTGTTACTAACTGATGTACAGTCTCATAAGATTCAACCTCCATCAATTTTGGTGTCTTTACTGTATGTGGCAAACACATCTGGGCAAGGTCATTTCGTATTAAATCAACGATCTACATGGAGAAACAAATAGTAAGCATTGTACAAGAAAAGTAATCATTAATGAAAACCAACCATTAAGTTCTCAGCTCGTTCTTTAACACTGCTGCCAAGATCTCGTATTCTTTTCTTGTTCTCTCTTTCTGCTTCTTTCTGGCACTTGATTCCACCATCACAATTTTCCTTATCATCGCACCAACATCCCTTTGCTACTGCCATTGTTCCTTTTATAGGCTTCATTTCAACTTCTCCTAGTCTATTGATTTCAATAAACTTCTCTGGTGATGAACTCAATACAACCAAATTGTCTGTGGTGAAATTCAGAAAGGCAGAGAAGGGAGCCGGATTGTGTGTCCGAATATATAAATATAGGTCAATGATGTTGGGCAAACGAGAAGTGAGTATGTGACGAAATTGTGTAGTCAAACAAACTTCATAGCTTTCGCCGCGCTGTATGTACGACTGAGCATTTTTGATTTGCTGCATGTAAGTTCGTGAAGGTAAGTCTGGAATAAATGCAGCCTGTGAAGGTTCTGCAAAAGATGGAAATGAATTTGGAGTTATTGGTTCGGTTTCTTCTTTCCCAGTTTTTGCGATAGTTCCAGATGTTTCGAAATTATTTTTCAAGCCACATATTTTTGCGTCCATACATTGAAACCATGACACGCATTCTTCCATCAACATTCCGATATTTATTCCTACTTCCTGTTCAATATCATCTAAAATGTGTTCCTCAGCGTTCTGACGTATTAAACAACCTAGCCATATATTTCTCCTATCGTGATCAAATATTACGGCTTGGGTGGCGAATATAAAAGCAGCATCTGGTTGATGGTTCGATATTTGCTGATTGCTTGGTACCACATATCCGGGCAGTGATTCTATTTTCATCTCGTATCCGAAAAATCCAACCATGCCCAAATGGAAATCAAATGGGATTGTATCGTCAATAATCTGGTTGTTATTCATGACAATAGTACTTTTAATCCGGCTATTGAGTTTGTTCGTAATTTCTGTCATCCAATCCCAAAATGTGGTTGAACCAAGAAGCGGTTTTGACATAAGCTTTCCGTTAGAGCACGCCAGTTGGAGTTGCTTGGTTTTTGTTAAATAAGAGACTGAGAACGAACTTGAACATGCCGGAGTAGATCCCATATATGAATATTGACATTGAGAGACATTTTCCTATTTTATGAGATGTTAGAATTGAACTTTGATATTTACCAAATATTCATTATTCTTACCTTTGCACTGTCAAGCCACCATGTTCCAAGAGTAGATTGATCTAATGATATGATTTGCTGAAATATTAACTGAGGATCTCTCCAATAATCATCATTTAGTTTGTTGAATACTATCTGCAGGGGTGTCGTCGTATGAGACAACGGTGGCGGAATGCCAGCTATAGCCGGAAATACCGATAAAGATAATATATGGGATGGTATTTGTGAAAATAAACTGGTTGCATGGCTCTACGTAATAAAATGTTTCGGTTAATATATATCAAGTATTCGAATTGAGAACACCAGTCAATGAGCAGCTTGTTACCCGTTTCAAATATTCTAAACTCAATCTTTGGAAATTCATCAACAATTGATGGCCATGCTCAGTGCATATTGACTACTATATCAAACTGATGGTCAGAAAGAATACAACTAATCAATATAAAACACTTTTAATGTTTTAGGAATAACTATGCCTCAGGATGGAATTGGACTCCGTATATAGGCTTATGGGCATGTTTCAATGCCATAACTGTTAGTTCTTCGCTATCCAGAGTGGTTGCGATAACCATTAAATCTTTTGGTAAATCTGTTGAAACAGGAGAAGCAGTAAATTACAATGATTTACGCAGTCGAACCTGTTTAAGAATTACTATTTGAATGCAACCAACCTTCGTTATTGACCACAAGACTATGATATCTGACTGCTGAAAATGGGTTTGGTATTCCGTTGAAGAGGCCAGTCCCATTATGGTAAATAGGGCTCAGTCTACCGTGCATAATATTCCGTGCATGGATTATCTGCAATCCATGATACGTTAGCAAACGCCAGGAAATGTTAAAACAAACTTGATAAACTGTTGTTACCTGGGCGCCGAATACATTGCCAATGCCCTGATGGCCTAAACAAACACCAAGGATTGGAACATCATCAAGCTGGAGTATACGGGTGCAAATACCAAAATCCTATTTCAATGAAATATATCACATAAGTAATGAATTTTGACCTCATATTGATGCCTATTAATACGACACCATACCGACACATTATCCGGTCTTCCTGGCCCAGGTGAGATAATTATATTGTCAAAATGAGGAGCAATATTATCTACAAAATAATCCCTGAAAGTGATCTTATAAATTAACATGATGAAATACAGTAACTGCAATTTCATATCCTAGCCGCTAATCGATTGCCCACCATTCAAACTGATCGTTGCGTATAACGACGACGTTTTTATGAACGTCTTCTTTATTCCATAGCTGAAGTAGATTGAAAGTATACGAATCATAATTATCAATGATTAGTGTCCGAAGCAAATCCATATTTTTGATTAGGCGGGCTGGCACCCAGGAAATGTATTTTATTGTGTATTATTATATACCTATTCGTTATAAATGTCACGTGGAACCAATAAGTGCATCCTGCATTTTATTATTATAATTTCGATTAGTCAAATGTTTCAAATCTCATGTATATAACCAAAGAAAATTCCCATCAACGATATAAAACTGGAAGATCTTCCCTCGTGTTCTGCATCTTATAAACAATTATGCAACATGAAACATATGAATCAATCGCCTACGTTGCTCTGTTAAAGAAAAGAACATAACTTAAGGTTTTCGTGACGGTTATTATTTATGCAACTTTATCGAGTGGCTTAATTATTTACGTGATGACTTGCCCCATTATGAACAATAAATACATTGTGCAGAGAATCCTAAGGGATGGGGTTATAGTTAACATTAATATTAATATAGTTATTATTATTAATCTGTGATAATTCATATCTTTTCATGAGACAGATATGTTCAGCATGCAGAATGCACGTTAAATTGCTTAAAACTGAAATCCAGCGTAAGAAATTAATTTCTAAAGGTAACCTTCATCTGTGAAGTAGATGCAGGGATTCAAAACAGTTTAGCATGTTTCGAACAACCAACAATCTTCGGTATAATAATAGTCCAATAGACGAAGAAAGACCGCTTCTTGGCAGAAACAACGGCTTACAACCCAATATATGCCATAACTTCCCTGAGAGCACTAATGCCGTCCAGTCAAGGCGTCATAAATATATATTCAGACAAGCACGAAGCTTGTCCTCTGCCTCACGATATTCTTCGTTGGGACGTAGAAAAAGAAGTAAACGAGACAGTCTATCCCAGACCTTGTCAATACCAATGGCTACAGCTTCAGTTAATGAAGACGCCTGGCTCAAAAGACTGAAAGCATTCGTCGATCGTCAAGCACAAAAACCCTCTCTCAGGCAACAACTCGCCTACAAGTGCGACACGACAAGAGCGGGTCGAATATGGGAGATAATAGATGCTAGCATAACCTTGTTGTTTGTGATGTTATATGTTTGGGTATGTACAGTGTGTGTATTACGAAGCTAAGATTAATAGGAGCTATTCAAACTTCTGATTGATCTACTATAGAATACCGGTTACGTTGGTGCCAAGCCAGGCGAGAAGATGCTTCCACAGTTCTTATTAATCTTGGATGTGGTTCTTGCTGCTACAATATTAATATTATTCATTCCGCGTGTGTGGCTGGCGCCTGATCGCATCATATATCTTCTCGGCTGTTACTCCCTCTCTACATTTGCTTCTGTTCTACCCGTTATGGTCAACCATATCATCATTCATTTCGACTCAGAAACACGGGAAACTTATATGGCCGCTGAGCCAACAGTGAGTTATAAAAAAGAAACTCAATACTCTTCGTTCATCATCTCTTATTTGCAGCTCAGGCAATTGTTTTTTTTAGGTCATTTTCTATCCGATACGTTTTTTGCGACTACATTTGGCCATTTCTATTTGCGTTGCGCCTGTAAAGAGCTCTGTTATTAAAGTATCGGTTATTGCAAGAAAGTGTTTAAAAGTTGGTAATTGTCTCTAGAATCCAACTTCTGTTCCGCCATTGAAATCTCGCGATTATTGCTTACCCATCCGATTGATTGGAGAACAGGCTCAACGATTCTAGTTACTTTGCTTATTGCCACCGCCTTGGTTCACTTTGTGACATGGACACAACATACTTCCGACGCTGCGGCGAGAAATCTTAGTTTCTATGATGCGTTCTTTTTTACCGTTGGTATGATCAGAAATCATTTAATCAAGATTTATTTAGTATTATTTAACTTTTTTTATTAAGCTACCAAATTTTTATTTCTCTGCGATTTGTAATAGTGGCCAGGTAATTTCGCAATCACGACTTGTTCAACCTCTTCATTAATATACTTGGTACTAATTTGTGGCTCTCCGCATCAGCACTGTTGGAACAGGCGCGAGTATTGTTCCCGATAGCACATTTACCAGATTTGTGATCCTATATGTTATGGTTGCGGGCGCTATATTTATTCCAACCCACTTCGCCGAGTTACTCCGGTTGATTGCGCAGAAGTCGAAATATGAGCATTCATTCAAAGGAGAAAGGAATCAAGATCATGTAATCGTCGCGGGTACATTCGATGCCATTAATCTGTTCGAATTTCTACGTGAGTTCTTTTGTGAAGACCATGGTTTAGCTAAGATGCAGACTCGTGTCATAATCATGAATCCAAATGAGGTTGGTAGGACAAACGAGTGGCATGTTTTTGTATCACAATTCTTGGACTTATGAAATATCCTTCCCATAGCCATCTGAAGAGATTGCAATGCTCTTGGAAGATCCTGTATTTGTTAATAGAGTACAATATGTAAAAGGGTGAGCTACGGAAGCTTTTTGTCTCTTGTCTAAATCGCTTTTGCTCAAACGCGAATTACACAGGTCAGCAACAACAACTCGAAGTCTCGAAAAGGTCCGAGCGAAATGTGCAAGTGGTGTATTTTTACTTTCATCCAAATTCACGGTGAGTGATGACGCTGAGGATGCTGAACAAATGATGAGAGCACTGTCTATGAAGAAATACAACCCGGAATTGAAATTATACGTGCAAATGCACCTTCCTGAGAATGTTCCTCATTTTGACTTTTTAGCAAAGGATGTCGTATGTATAGATGAGTTCAATCTAGGATTGATGGCTCAGAGTTTAATCGTTCCGGGATTAGCTTCTATGGTGACATTGCTTACAACATCAATAACAGAGACTACTTCTCGAACTTTGAGACGTAAGGCTGAGAAAAAAACAGATTTAGAATGGGCTATTGAATATATAGAAGGCGCTACTCAAGAAATATATGCTGTTACTTTTCCCGAATCTCTGCATGGCCTAACATTCCTAGAATGTTCAGAGATTATATACTTGTATCTTGGTACTGTACTCTTCAGTATTGGCGTTCATAAACGTCATGGTGCTGAAGGTTGGACTATAGGGAGATCGCCACTTCAAATTTATTTAAATCCCCAAGATTACATAATTGCCGGCGGAGAAATTGGCTTTGTCGTTAGCTCCAACAGTGAGATTACCGATCGAATAATGGACTTTGGCAAACGTTTTTGCCGTAAAGACCAATTTAGTAACTATGGTTCAAATTGCATTACCGTAGATAGGCTTCCAAAGGATCTTTCGTGTAAAGATAAGAATATGGCACGGACAACCTCCAAAGTCACTCATGATAATTCTTCCGATCCAGCAGGTCTTTCAAAGCCTTTGAACAAGCGCCTAAAAATAATTACTTCACAGTCAGCAACTAATGTCAACGGAGATGCTGAACGAGTTCCGCCTTCTCCGCTTCCAGTAAATCCCCCGACTCGTGCTGAAATTTCGCAGTTAAATATTCGCAAAGCCGCGGAGAGCCTAAATAGATCAAATTTCTCAGAGTTGGACGTCGAAAATCATATTTTAATATGTGACTGCAGCCCTAAAGTAAGGCTAATAAGCAATATTCAATCTCGTATATTGAACGTTTTACAATTTTAACTCTGACGTTTTTAACTCTGACGTTTCGACGTCTTTAGTTCCCTGGAAATCTAGAGATTTTTCTAAACATTATTCGACAGAAAAAGGAAAATATTCCTGTTGTTATTTTATCCCTAGTGGAGCCTGCTCTTAACGAGAGAAAACTGTTGGAAACATTTGGGTGTATCCATTTTGTGAAAGGCAGTCCGATGAAGCGGACAGACCTATATCGCGCAAACGTGCACTCAGCACAAAGATGTCTTGTTTTAAGCGACTCGCAACGATACCATCCGTAAGTGCACGCGTCAGAATTTCAATTCTTTCATAACACACACTCATGATGTTCCAACGATAATCTACTCAGATCAATTCGTGGTACTGCCGATGCTTCCACTTTGTTGGCAATGGTGAATATTGAATCCATGATGAGAGACGATTGTTTTGTTGTGGTTGAGTGTGTGGATAGAAACACTTTCAAAATGGTTGGTAATGGTGACACTGTCCGGATCGGCGAGGAATACGGTAGCATTCATTTTCGTTACGTTTTTGTATTATTTGAGCTTTTCCGTTTCTGATAAGCAGTTCATTAATTAACAGTCCAGGCACTTATGTGTCCATCATTCGTGAGTGGGCGTGTGTATACACCGTATTACTTGGATACGATTCTTTGTCAATGGTATGTATACCGACTTGATAAGTTAATATACATATGAGATGTATGACTAACGCGTAGGTGCTTTCAGCTTTTACAATAGGCATATCCTAGACATTCTGAAGCAGCTTATATTCAGCAATGAATTTGAGAGAAAAGATTCAAATGTCACTGCCACAAACCGTCATACATCTAGAATAGCCCCCAGCAAATTGGCTTTTCTCAGAATACCAGCTCGATATCAAGACTGTCTTTACGAGATCTTCTATGGACAATTAGTTCGAGAACACAAAACTATTCCCTTAGGTCTTTACCGTTATGTTCAACAACGAGAAGGTCCATTCTGGTATGTCTTTATTAATCCTTCTAAAAGCACCATTCTTCATGAACATGATAGAGTCTATGTAATTGTGGGGAAGGAGTCAAAGTTTGATGATTGGGAACTTTTTGAGGATGATGGAATGGCTGACATGAGCCAGAAAGGATAATAAAGAGAATACGTCTACTGTACATGTGCGAACTGCAGAGGTTATCTGATGAATAATATTTGGTTTCTTTCTATGTTTGTTACGTATTGGGATCTGCTTAATGATAGGATCCGGCATTCATTGATACTAGTTCCGATCACAATTTTATATCAATCAATCCTATCTCTGAGACATCAGAAGCAAGTACCATGCATACTTTGAATTACGTACGTTTCCTCTTAATATTTGAAACATAATCTGGAGAGTTGCTTTTAATGCACTTCCCTCGAGGAGGCTTGGGAACTTTCAAAGCTAGTAGAAGAATTTGAGCGATGTGGAGTACCAGAAAATAAGCCCCATATGGTCAAGAAAGTGGGGACGCACTTTCTTCATACCTGCTGACCTAGAACCTGATATTGCAAACTTGCTGCGATCCATAACTCACCCAGAACACTCTCTAGGTACTTAGGTCGAATCCATTATTATCATTTGTAGTAGATCCGTAAAATTAATGAGAGTTGTGATGTGTCTGCTGGTGGAAACTTTTTTCCAACATCAACAATACCTTTAACACTTGCTTCTTCTCCATATTTTTCATTATCGTCACAAGGAATATACTCACTAGCAGAAAGAGGTTCTGAAATAAGATGGATAATTAAAACATATTCTTGATTATTAGTTGCAATTGAACAAATTAAAGAATAAGTAAATAAATAGAAACCGTTATATCGAACATTTTCCGAGTCTGCTATTTTCGGTAATAATAAGACGGATTGTCACGGTATAACGGATTTTGTGTCTGTTCCGAGGAATCCGTTATATCGACTATATTATTATAATTTACGCGTTAACATTTAGTAGCAGTTTTTGAGCTTCGAGTTTTACATATTGATATTTGATGTTAATATAGCGTAGTAATAGATTTTAAATTTTAAGCTTTGTAACACGAATTTTATTGCTAACTTTGATTCTCGTTGTAGCTTATGGTCGGGCAAATGCTTTATAGTAATACCAAGATCATAGATTTTAAAAAGGAGAGAGATTTATGTATTTTACTAATTGATAGTATAAATCTAACAACATATAATAGCTTCTCCTCTCTCTTCTTTATTGCACTTATGTTACTCTAAATTAAATTATGTAACTATGGCGTCTCTGTTCTAGTTTTAGCACAACAATTGTACTGGACAATAAAGTCATACTCAATTAGTGAGAAGCAATGGAATATAGAAAAAAGTAGATGAATAAATAAACGACATGGATACAAAATACATAACTAACAAGATTATTGACTTGGTCTTGAGAATAATTTTATGTGGCCTTTTCTGCATGTAACTATTATGGAATCTTCGCGAAATGTTATTGAACTTAACGGATCCGGATCGACCGATTTAGCCTGTAAACAAAAAAAATAGCACGTTTATTAAGAATTTCTACAATATCGATTATATTAATAGTATACTTACCACTACAGGCGGCAAAACAGCGACTTCCGACCTTGGCAAACAAGGGTGAACCACATTTAGTTCAGGTTCTGCTACGTTTCGCCTTAATGTAGTTGTTGATCCATGAGACTGTGATGCGACACTCGCACGTCGATGACTTAATGTCTTTGGCTTATGCAGAGCATTAACACTGAAATCCCAGAGTAATAGCTTGGTGTCTTCTCCAACCGATCCAAACCGATAATTCTGCTCATCACATCGCCAGGGATCAAAAGCAACGCCAGTTACCCACGACGCATGACCCTGACATCTCGCAAGTATGCGCTGTTCGCGGAATGCCCATATCGTGACTAAATCATCTTGACCACCAGTGAGTATATATTTACCATCAGGACTCCAACACACACAAGAGAAGCCACCGAAATAACTGCTGTATGTATCATAGAGCCTTTGATCACAAAGAGCAGTGGAGTAAACGTTGTACATATTAGTAAAAAATTTTGGGGTTAAAACAAACCTTTACTATATTGAGATAATAGACTTATACCTCTCTTGAAGAAAATCAACAATGCGAAGACAACCATCTATAGAAACAATGGCTACATGTTGACAATCCGGGGAAAATGCGAATGCTAGAAAATCGTTTGCTATTGTCAACATCATGTTATCGTTACGTTTCTGTGTAAGAATAGAAGACGAAAATATTACCAGTAACAGCCTTCTTGGAAACATGCCAGTACGATACGGGATTATATTTAGAGTGTTTCGACGGACGAGTCACTCGAAATCTTTGTTATGTGCAATCAGATGGTGTTAGGTCGGCTGGACCTGTCAACAATACAACTTGCGTGTAAATCGTCCAATTGTTTTGATACGAAGAGAACTACACCCGCTTACCCTTCATCTTCATTGACACCGTTGGAGGTAAAACTTTGGTCATCTTTCTCTTTGTCATAAATAATCACAGATCCATCTTGATACGATGCCATAAAGAGATTCTCTGATCCCGGAATCCACTTCACCATAGTCACGGTGGAACCATTGATTATTCCCTAGAATAAATATACGTAAAAATAAAGATCCTAATGATAAGACGAAGCAGCACGCATAGTACCAGTAATTGAGGCAATAATGTAATCATGTTGAGTACATACCCCTTTGTTTAATCTATAGTATTTATTACACAATGGATCGAACCATATTACATCTCCACTTGAAAATCCAATAATAACGTCCAAATGATCGCATGATCGCGTAAGTTGATTGACATCATGACATGTTGGAAACGCTTTGAAGTTAACCCGCGATAAAGGTTCCTGATAATTTATAGAATTTGGCGGAATGGTATATATGAACTATTTACATATTGGATGCGCAATCTTGAGAGTAATGGTTATAACATTACCTTTGAATTGTTTGTCAGATCAGTCCAACAAAATGTACGTCCAATGTTATAGAACAAGTAAGTGTCCTCGTTCTGCCTGTTCGCCAAAATCTTTGCAAAGTTGTCATTTGTAATTATTTTTGTTACAAATGATGAATTTGTCTTAGTAATACTATGTTTAGGTTTTTTACGTTTGGCAGCGCTGAATAAGGATAAGGATGTAAAGGCACCTTCATCGTCACGTTTCCCTTCGATAGCGGTTGGTATCGGCACATTACCGCCTAATGACTGTTTGGAAGTAAAGGAGTTCTGAGTAGGAGATTTGACGGCTGACGCATCACCAGGCGAGACGGGTTCTTTGTATGTTGTAGTTGTCGGAGAAGGAGGGTCTTGAGAGTTTTGGGGCTGTGGTTGTGAGCGAGCAGAGTCAGCTGCATCCTCCGCTGGATTATCGAGAGGAGAGTCATCAGTGGATGGTGGACGGTTACTAAGAGTGTTGTTGTCACTAGTAGGCTCTGTTGAGGTACCATCACCACTAGAGGACTGCCGATGTGATGTATATTCTTTGTATTTCACGGACACAAGTGAAATTAAGGTACCTCCTGTTAAATTAGGAGTAGTAGGTTCGAGATATATCTCTCTCTTGAGGACATACTGGCCTTCGGCTGCTAGAAAGTCTTTGCATTCGTTTCCAGTAACTGCCATTAGGAAGCTAGTTCAAAGAAAGTAGAGCGAAGGGGTTCCAAGCGAATAATTGTTGTGACTGTGATCATCCAGTCGTTTGTCAAATTTTGGACAGTTTACACATTTATAATTGCTAAAAGCGACTTCATTATAATACTAAATACGAACCAATTATTTATTAATTAAATTTTACTAGGATGCGCTCTCGTTTCGATTCACAAATGAAATATTGTACAGGTAATTGGACTTTCTTTCCTGATGAACTAACATCGTAATCAACAACAATATTCCATAGTCGAAGAGTACATAGTAATAGAACAGCGATAAATTTGGCGCTTTTTTTAAACAAATTTTTGAAAGCAGTGTTTGCATGCCATGTAAGCATTCCTGATTATATGAGGTCACCGCTGATAACTTTACAAACCATGTAATATGATAATTACATTAATTGTAAAAATTCAAGTGGAGTAGCCAAAAATTGTTTTGCAAAAAAACCTCTATAATTGTGGATTAGCTTAAAATCTGTGGCAATTGTTAGATAGTGTTTGAAAAACCGTATTAGCATATCAAAGTAATATTTTCAGAGTTGCAATAATCGTGAATAAATTGATTATTAATTAAACCATGTTTTTATACAGTGTTTTAGCTTTTAAACAAAAACTACATGTTATTGTTGAAGCAGTTTCTATAGAGCCATAATAAAAAAAAGAAGAGGCCATTTTTTTAACACACTATAAACCAGCAATCAATTGCCGATGTAGTAATAATAAATAAAAATTTCTTTGCTTACCAACTTTATTTTGATATTATTTTGGCTTGCTACAACGATTCGTCGAAAAGAACGCTTGTTGAGGAGAAAGTACCATGCGGCCTTTGTTGTTCCAAATAGTATTTACTCGCGGTGTCAATACGTGACATCAAGTTTACTAAATTGATCTTTGGTTTATTACCTTTTTGTTATAAAATTTAAACTGTTTACACTTGTAATACTTAAAGTCAGTAACTACGTACACATTCGGTTAGTCGAAAATCTTCGGCTTACATTTTTACTATTGACGTATATTATAAATTTCGACTTATTTAGCTTACCTGAATTTGCCTTAGTAATATAGTCGCATGAACTCAGTAAACAAGACAAGGCGTCTTACGCAAAAGATAATATACAGGACTTTTATGGCATATGACGCAAGTGCATTTCAAGTTTTGTTGTGCTGCGAGGGACGAAGGGCTGCTCTCGCTTCTATTCAGCAGCGAGCCGGTCTCACCGCATAATTTTATTTTGTTGCTTGGTTAACCGATACCATTCTTACTGGTCGGGGATTTTCCCAATAACATTTATCTTGCCAGCGAATGCGTCGGAAGGAAAGGGAGAACCTAATGCAGGTAACTGTGCGTGGGCTACGACTCTGCCTCAGGGGGTTTCAACTTGGTGGCGACCCCGCCAACTACTCCATCGTGGACAGACGTGTTTAGTGCCTCGGAAAAGCATATCAAAATACCGTAAAGTAAGAACACTAAATTACTTTTATTCATATTTTTGTGTTTAATCAAGTACTCTTTGTTCGTGGAAGGGTCCCCTTTCCTTCTAGAAGATCAGAGCAAGTATGAGCTCTGGTACGGGGAAATTTAAGTAAAATAAATGATATTAATATACATATTTACAAGGCGTTTTGGATAAAGTAATTTGTCTTTCTCTCACATCGCGCTTCCACCGCAATTGCTAGACCCCTCGATCGATACGAGGAGTCAGTATCTACCATTCAGTTTGATAAGAGGGGAATCGTAGTGCAACCACCTCGAGCTGCAAGAGGGCGGTAAATCAACCGCGAGGATCGTAACGGTAACGTAAAAGTCTGGATATTATAATCAATAATTAAAATAATTTGCACTTAAATTTGTCTCTTTACATTGGAAGGTGCGAAATGATAAGCACCTTCTTTAATTATTATTATTATTATTATTATTATTATTATTATTATTATTATTATTATTATTATTATTATTATTATTATTATTA